AGCCGGAGTTAAACCATGACAATGTTTGTGATAAACCAGACCAATTATCAGTGGAACTGAGAAAATCATTCATCATGCATGACGTACGTGCAGAGTGTTGCCTGCTTTGGTATCAGCTATAAAGAGATTTTTTTTTTAAGATATCACATGAAAGACTTGGACCAAGAACATATTAGCTATGAAAAAACAGAGACCAGAAATATTTGGCATGGTTAAGCAATGAGATAAAGAAAATTATCAAAAGAAATCCTTCAAAAACTGTCAAGATTAGGAAGCTAGAGAAGAACACAAGTTCCAGCAAGTTAGACTTGAAACTATAAGAAGACAAGCCAGAAAGTTTTGGTGTAACAGTCTGTTGAAAATATGAAAACTAACATAGCAGAAGAAGAAAAAGATGTCAGAAAGTCTGTCAGTCCAAGAAGTGATTAGGTTGGAAGGTAAGGCCATAACAAAAATGAGAGGGGGAGCCGGCAGGAGGGGAGGAAAAATTTTGAATAGACAACACTGTTGTAATTCAATGGCTAAGGGATATTCCCACACCATAAAATTTCTTCATGGCAGAAAGTAGGAGAAAATTGTACCAAATTAAATCTTTAAAAATTCAACAAAAGAAATCTCTAGGAACAAATGGTAATGATACAAGAGTCCTAAAAACTGAAATCATGTGTCATTTCAAATGAATTTGTCAACTGATGATTTCAATTTCCAGCAGTTAATTGCCTGGATCCTGTAGGTATCTGCATCCTTTGACAAGCCATGAGATCTATGAAGACTTATTAAAGCAGCTATGTGAATATATCCTCTTAAATACATGAAATTTGAGGTACTCTGGACCCTTGAAGGGTTTGAGAAAAGCATCCATTTCTATTATTGTTAAATCTTCTCTCCTTCCCAAAACAAAATGTTGCCAGGATATTAGGCTCACTGTTTTGTTGGTCATTTGTTTTTGTTTTTTTTTTCTTAAACACAACCAGAGTGTTATTAGACTCTTTTAATTTTATCTCATGTTTTTGTGCACTGGATATATCATAATGTTGGGGGGTTTGGACTGGTAATTTTCTGTGTCTTCTGGCAATCTGTGTTTTCTTTTTCCATTAATCTTAGTAGATCTTCATTTGGAGAAGGATTTCTGATGTCCCTATTTGGCCTTAAACTGGGATCAGGGACTTCTTGGGCATCACTGCCTTGCCAGGGCATCCAAGTGCCCTCATGGATACTGTTTGGAATAAGTACCTTTATAGTGGTCTTCAAGACTACTTCTAGGAGCAGTTTTTCCTACTGAGAGTCACAGAGGTGTCAGGTTCCTGGGCTATCTGACTCTAAACACTTTTCCATTGAGGGCACCCGTGGAGATGTGGGAGCCCAGCAATAGCAAGTCCCTCAGCAGACAGTGGAGCAGGCAGCGGGTGCCGACAGAGCACAGCACATTACACCTACCTGCTGCGGACCTCTCCCTTCTACGCAGCAGCTGCAGGGGTCCCCACGACCCTGCTCATTTTTGGAAATGCCACTTGCCAATGTCTCTGCAGAGGGGGAAGCACAGCTCTGCATTCTGACTCACAGAAAATCTGCAGGGTTTTCTTTTCATGTCATCTGGAGGCTGCTTTCTTTTTTCAGTCAAAAGTTTTCACAACCCAGAAACATGGAATGAAGCCAGATTTTATGGTTATCTTTTTGAATCTTGGGGTTTACTGGTGAAAAAGTCAAAGGAGACAAACACCTATTTTTATTACTGAACACATCCAGACAGCTACACCTAGAGCTTTTGGTGTTAAAAATATGGAGCTCTTTTGGATGAGACTCATAAAAGGTATTTTAATCTTTTGTTCCTTTAATTCATCCTGTCTAAACCTCCTATCACCTGTGAGGAATTAAGGGTTTGATTGTTTGGGTTTTTTTTTTTTTTTCTTCTTCTCTGGAATTATCACTGGATGTCAGGGAGAGATCTGTTGCTAAATCATGCAGGCTTCACCTGTATGGTATCCCCAGGACTTGTTAATACTTGACTTAAATAAATGAAGCATGAAACAAAATTATGTATAATTCAATTTGCTGCCATAGCTGTCAGAAAAAAAAAAAAAACAACCAAATAAAACAACACAAAAACGTCCAACCCAGCTTTTTCTACTTAAAAAGAAAATCAACAATTCACAATCCATAGAAAACCTCTAATGCTATCAAACTCAAGTTTTATATCAGGACACATTTGCAAACACGACAGCACCTAAAGGAGTCCGCTGTTACTCATAAAAAGTATTTAACAGAGACTGCACTTTATGCTTACTGCCTTTCCCTTAAGTACCTGATCAGATTGTGTCCTTTTGTAGATCACACTAGCTGCAGATCCTGCAATCTGCCTAACTTCATTTTTAAGAGCCTACCACTCCTTTGTAGTTGCAGAACTGTATGCTTCCCATTTAACAAGAGGTGCCGTACCTTTTTAAGTATTTACGCTTGTCATCTTCCCATATTTTTTATCATTAGTTGTATCAATTTGCTTGCATAGGTCTTGCTATAGTAAAATTTTCATTGCCTTTTTTTTCTATTAAAAAACCTCAATATGTTTATTTCGTGCTTTGCCATGTAAGTAGTGACATTATATTTAGCATATTGTTTCTTTACTATTGCTTGTTATGCTATTGCAGTGCTCATCTTAGGAAATTACTATGTAGAAGGTTATGAGAAATAAGAATAGATACTCAAAAATATCAAACATAGTGAATGAATATTAGGAAAAAAAGAGAGTATCACAATTTTCTATTCTGAAATAACAGTTCATGCACTATGGATTTACACTGGAAATCTAAACTGGACAGAATGATAAAACTTGTTACGATCTAGCTGGTAAATTGAAAAATTGCTTATGTAGGAAACTATGTCACAGCTCATTAAATCAGAAAGATAAATCCATTCTTTAGCACTTCATGAAGAAAAATAAAGAAAAATACAGCATTTGAATGGATAAAGTAATCACTCAGAGGCAGAAAATGTTCTAAAAATGCTAACCAACTTATTTTTTCTTTCTAGATCGCATGTATGGCACATGTGAGATAGATTGGGCAAAAGCCAACTTCTCTACAATCTACAAGTCCTACATTGTCTCCATTTTTATCTGCTGTTTTTTCCTACCTGTGACAGTCATGATCTTCTCCTATGTGTCAATTATCAATACTGTCAAGCTAAGCCATGCATTAACAGGACTGGGTGACCCCACAGACAGGCAGAGGAGAATGGAGCGGGATGTCACCAGGGTGAGTTTGGGTTTCACGTTGGGTGGGATTTACATCTCAATGAAATCTCTCTTTCCAAAAATTGGTCCCAACTAGAACACGAGAGAACAAATCAGTTGCATTTCATTTTTCTATAATCCCTAGTGACAGAGTCTGAACTCAGTGAAGAATATGAAGATTGTTTAAAACTCCTACTCCTTCAGTTGGCTAATACTGGTGCTACATTACATGTAAAAAATAATCTAAATATAATTGGAGTGGGTTATACCGCACAAGAACAAAAGTTTGGTTTGGCACATGCTTTTTGCTTTCAGAAGTTACATTACTTCTGAGTATACACAGAAGTTACAGTGGAGCTTTCAATTTACTTACTGTTGACCTAAGTCCATCCAAAACCCTCTTAATTCTTATAAACATACCGGGTGGTGTAGCTATTTTCATTCCATTAGATGAGGCATTGCTCAAGCACACCACCATGCCAAAGTAAGTTATATAGCTTCTAGGTCTGCCTGCCTCCACTAAAGTGAATCTTTTGCTTGCCTATACTCTCCTGTGAGCCTTACCCTTGGGACCACCTGAATGTTTCCCTTCCAGCCAAGTGTCCTAGCTATTATTCCCAGCATATTACTTCCCTGATGTGGTCTTCCAGAACAGATTTAAGACTATTCTTCTTCTGTCTTTTAGGTTTCTATTGTCATTAGCACAGCCTTCATTATTGCGTGGTCACCATACGCTGTCATCTCCATATGGTCTGCCTACGGTTACCCTGTGCCCAATCTTACCAGCATCCTTGCCAGTTTGTTTGCTAAGTCTGCCAGCTTCTACAATCCCATTATCTACTTTGGAATGAGCTCCAAATTTCGGAGGGACATTTTCATCTTGTTCCATTGTGCCAAGGAAGTCAAGGACCCTGTGAAGCTCAAACGTTTCAAAAATCTCAAGCAAAAACAACAAGAGCCTTCACAGAAAGAAGAGAAGTATGCAGGCGAAATGCACCCTGCGCCAAGCCCTGATTCTGGGGTGGGAAGTCCAACCAATACCCCACCTCCGGCAAACAGGGAAGTGTATTTTGGTATTCTCGATACACCATCTAATAACCCTGACATTGAATGTGATAGACTGTAAGTTTTGTGGCCAGTTAACACACGTACCCCACTTTGTGTTCAGGAAGACCCTCTTCAGATCACCGCTCAAGTGATTTCCTAATTCCCAGACACTATAGCACTGCTGACTACAACTCAAGCACGTCAGACAACAAAGTGATATTTTCCTTCTATGTAGGTACAAAAAGCTACGAAGCGCATTACAATGCGGGCAGCAAACCCAGGGCCAGAAACATCTGATTTCCACATGCGTGCAGGAAGAGGAATACTGACATATGAAGAGCAGGCATTAGCTGAGAAAAATTACTCATATCTTCCTATCCAAACTTTATTAATTAGGAGATTACATTTCCACATACATGTTTTGCTCCTCAACAGCCCCAGCTATAGAGGAGGGTTCTAGCTCTGTGGTGCTGTAGGAGAAGAGGGGCCCTGCCGAGATGGCTGTGGAGCTGCCCGCCTTGGGGCTCCCAGGCCCTGTGCACGCACGGGTGTGGGCCCATTTGTCCGTGTCTGACTCTGCGTCTATGAAGGTGCTGGGAGTTGTAGATCTCGGCATTTACTAGGCGCTGTGGTCCTAATGGTGGCTTCATACTTTGCCTTGTCGGTCTGCAGAATTATTTCCACCTTCTGTGACCTTCACGGTGAGCAGGGCCTGGCTGCAGCATTCAGACTTAGAAAAACTGGCCTTGAATTAGACTGATCTGTCTCCAAACTTGTTTTTCTACCTGACTATTAAGGTGGAGCGAGAGATGTTGCACAGGCAATGAAACCAAAAGTGATGTTAAATTTTTAAGAGTACTAATGAAGTGTGCCATCAGAGCGCTTCACAAAATATAATCCAGCACTTTGCTGCTGCTTCTAAAGAAAGTTTTTGTACCTGCCTATGGGTAAAACATGACTTTTAGTTAAACATATCTAAGTAGCAATTAAGGATAGTGACTTAAATAGCTGAGCTGTAGACTTAAATCAGAACCAAGACTGTCAGATGTTATAATGCCCAGTTATTCCACCAAGTTTATTTTACAGATTCAAAGTGAGGAGGTGTATCTTCATAAGTCTCCATCCTGGAAATTAACTGAATACTCAGAACTTCTGTAAAAATGTCTGTGTTAGCCATGGAAATTGTGGGTTCATTTAGTGCTGTTTGCCAGTTAAACAAGGAGGAAAAAAAAAAAAAAAGAAGAAGAAAAATAACCCCTTCAACATTGGTTGCTAACTTCACTGCTATTTATGACTTTTTGGAATCTCACTGTCAGGGTGTACTAAAATGTAGTTGTTTTGCAAACGTATGCTTTTCCAGATGTGTTTTTTGGGAAAGTTACAAAGAGAGCCGCCTTCATTTCCCCCATTACTGTATTTGTTTTGAGAAAGTCACCTGTGTTTTGAAGTTAAAAAACAAATAAACATTATAAGCAACAGCAGGGAACTGTGTTTTTATTCATGGCCACAGATCTGAACTACAAGAGTATTCATTTTGGTGGAAATTTTTGAGATAGGGGTGCTATTTCATTACCATAAATAATTAAAAGCAAATAAGTAAACAGTTTGCTTCCATATAAAAGTGCATGCTGTAGCTGCAGAAATAGATGAAATCATTTAGGGCGAAATCCTGTCACAGCTGGATGCAGCCAGGCTGGGTTAGCCAAAGCTAGCACGCAGTTTTGAAAGCTTCTAGATGTAGCACAGAATCCACTTTGGCAACCCTTTTCACTGCTGAAAGTGCTCGGGTTTTCCTCCAAAGAAAGAGGAATGCCACGCATCCCCATTGGATGTGGTTCTCGGAGGTATCCTGGAGAAAAGGGGGCTGAGGGAAGACCTTATAGCTCTCTACAGCTACCTGAAATGAGGTTGCAGAGAGGTGGGTCTCTTCTCCCGAGTAAGAAGTGACAGGACAAGAGGAAATGGCCTCAAGTTGCACCAGGGAAGGTTTAGATTGGGTATTAAGAAAAAATTCTTCACTGAAAGGGTTGCCAGGCACTGGAATAGGCTGCCCAGGGGAGAGGTTGAGTCACCATTCCTGGAGGGGTTTAAAGGGCATGTAGATGTGGCACTTAAGGACATGGTTTAGTGATGGATTTGGCAGTGTTCAGTTAACAGTTGGACTTGCTGATCTTAAACACCTTTTCTAACTTAAAGATTCTATGATTCTAGATACCTGCAGCCACAGGTATGCTGGACAACTGCCCACAGAGCCTCCTGGACCATAGGTGTCAGCCTGGCTTTCAATATCTATTTTAATTTCCACTAATTTACGGATAACCAGAGAATTCTTGCCTGCCTATGCTGTAACAACGCTGCTGATCCACAGGATCCAGACTGACACAGAAAAGTGTGAAAAGGGCAAGGAAGAAGGCAGAGCAACAAGGCCATTTCCAAGAGTTCCCCCAAACTCCAGCTGAGATCTCTACTAGGTCATACACCACTGAGCATGTACAGGGAGCTTAGACTGGGGGAAGAGGAGGGAGTAGTAAAATTGAGCCACAAACAGGAGCAGAGGAAGAATATAAGAGAAAGAGAACCAGCTAAGCAGGGGAGCAAGGAGCCAGGAGCCAAAGGGTGCATACCCGCTGAAATACAACCAGAAACAGCCAGCACAGAAAAATCCTTGACTGGACCAAGATAGAGCTCCCACCTGCAAGGCCTATGGCTGCAGTCCTTTGTGGATATACAGTAATACCATGGGACTGCATAACTGTAGAGCAGAATATCTGGTTTTGCAGGTTACACAGGGAAAAAGAGGATGGGTGCCTTTGCAGGCACCAACCTGTGCTCCAGGTTCAGTAACAGCAGAGGCACATTTGTCACTGAAGTTGCTCAGGTTAAAAAGTTTCCAGCCCTAAAGCACCCGTGCCCTGTACCTGCACCCACGACATCAGCACATGGCAAAGGCAGAAAAAAGATCCAGTTACCACCTGAGTGCAGGTAAGGGAATGCATTTCAGCATTTCAAGTGTGTAAATCCACACAAATCAATTTGTGAAACATTTTGCCTGTGTTCTGCATTTCCTCCCCTCATCTCTGGTCCCACAAGTGCCAGGACAAGGTTGGTCCCCACTGCTGCCTTCACAGGTGGACTCCTCTGGCTGCTGAGCCCACACTGCAGGTCAGGGAGGAGCAAAGAGCTTGGGGGCTTGAGACAGTCAGCAAGCATAAGCACAGTCTAGATATGCTGAAGAGGGTCAATGGGGTTTTATGCATTTTTCTTCAGGACAAACGAAGTCAAGTGCAAACAGTGTAGAGAGTCCTGGAGTCAAATTACTCCTCCCCATAACATTGCTGCTCCCCACAACTTTGGATCTTCTTTTACAGTGGATGAGGTTTAGCAACAGAGATGCAAGAAGGCTGTTGTCCTGGCTGATATTCTGGTGACAAAGGATGCTTTCCTGGGAAACCACAGCTTTGAACACTCTCCACCTGAGATGACCTTAAAGGAAGGTCTCACTCACCCTGATGAAGAGAAGGACTACCTGCTCTCATGCTCTCAATGCTTTCTCTTTAGAAACACTACATTTTTACAATGCAAAAAGCCTACAGATATGCCAAAGGCAGGGCCAGATGTCATATCACCATGAGACAGGACATCCCATCCTTGTGCTGCCACTTCATCTTGTGTGAAGGGACCCAGCAGGCAGGCAGCATGGACTTGTTAACAGGACTTGATTCTTATATTACCTCTACCAGGGGCCATTTTCCATGTGTTTTGTATTGAATTGATCAGTGCCAGCCTGTGCAAATGAGATCTCATGACTATTGCTAGTATCCAAACGATCTCTTGTCATGACATAGGAAAACAATATTCAGATCTTCCTCCTTTTAGCATAGAAATTCTGACATGTAGGTTCTGTCTCTCTTGCTCAGCCCTGGATATTACTGCAAGATTTTGTAATTGTTGGGGTTGACACACTAAAACTAAGTAGTATCATCTGGCAGAAGGCAATAGGCCAAGCAGTTCTAGCATTTCCAAAGGATGCTCTCAGCATTTGCTTGCTTGTTCCAGCAGAATCTGAGACAGAGGTTAGCCCTCTTCTACCTTAGATGCAACAAACCCAGCCAAAAAACCTTGCTAGCCATACATTATCCATTTCTGTACTCACAGCCCTGTTGATATAATTAAAGGACTCTTGCAAAAATTAGGTGGCTGAGCAAAGTCACTCTGCATAAAACGTGAAGCCCTTAAGCCACCCTTTAAAATATGCCTTTAGCTACTCTACATACTCATTTCCACATATTTCCCAACTGTTTTGATTAGCTATTGATTAGTACACTCAGCAGGTGAGTTCCTAATGGCTACACAATTACTGTATTTACACGTGTACCAAGACCTCATCAGCTCTTACTTCATTATTTCTTATTATCTATATTATTCATAATAATCAACATACAAGTATTATGCCATAATTACTGCAGCAATTAATCATGAAGTGCAGCTATTAATACTCACTTGTACAACTTGGCCTTGCAGGGGGATTACCAACACCCCCATCACTAACACAACCCTTTGGCTTGGGCTACACAGTTTGAACAATGAAATTGACCCAGGATTACTCCTGTTCAATTTCCACATTTTAAAACAGCCTCTTCTGGGTTGGGGGGCAGGGGGGAATAATTTGTTTATTTATGCCAAGAAAGCCTTTAGGGCCCACATTTCCCCTGCTGGCGTTTTTGCCAAGCTGAAAATGTTTTAGAGTGTCAGCACATTGAAATGCACAGCAACCTTTCCTAATAGCTTTGACATTTCTAATGGTCACATGAATAACTTGAGTGTGCAGTTGGAGGGAGTGGGAGACCTGCTGCAGCCCAGTCCATCTTCTCAGTGCTATTGTGCCTTTTGATCTAATGACTCGTGTAAAAGTATTTCTTACAGTAAATCCCCCTTCACCCCCTTTGAGACAGCGACTTTATTACTGAACTGCTCAGGCTTACACCCCCTTTCAGGTTCTCTCTCCACCTCTAGAAACCCTTCATTCTTTGCCGCACAGACTGACAAGATAAGAGCGATACAGAGTATGCCCATCCAAGC